TTGAGATGAAGGATCTTGAAGAGGCAAAGAAGATATTGGGTATGGAGATCGAGCGAGACAGGGTGAAGGGGAAATTGAAGCTTACACAGAAGAGCTACTTGCAGAAGATGTTGAAGAAATTCAGCTTTGATGGCAATGCAAAAGCAGTTAGCACACCATTGGCTCCCCACTTCAAGCTTTCAGCGTTGATGTCACCTGTTTCAGTTGAGGACAGAGATTATATGTCGAAGGTCCCATATGCTAGTGCAGTAGGTAGCTTGATGTATGCGATGGTGTGTACGAGGCCAGATTTGTCACAGGCCGTGAGCATGGTATCGAGATACATGCATGACCCCGGGAAGGGTCACTGGGAGGCCGTGAAGTGGATTCTACGGTATGTTCGAGGCACCGTGGATGTTGGTTTAGTGTTTCAGAAGGATGAGAAGGACGGGCAGGCTTGTATTGGATATGTGGATTCAGATTATGCTGGAGATCTTGACAAACGCCGGTCTACGTCAGGTTATGCTTTTACTTTGGCAGGCGCACCTGTATGTTGGCGTTGCACGCTTCAGTCCACAGTGGCTCTCTCTACTACAGAGGCAGAGTATATGGCAGTTACTGAAGTAATTAAGGAGGCTTTATGGTTGCGTGGATTATTGGAGGACTTGGGGATTGCTCAGGAGACTATTCGAATATATTGTGATAGTATGTCGGCTATCTACTTGGCGAAGAACCAGGTTTATCATGCGCGCACGAAGCACATCGACGTCAGATTCCACTTTGTACGGGACGTCTTGGATGCTGGATATGTCATATTGGAGAAGGTCCACACAAATGACAATCCTGCAGATATGTTGACCAAAGTTGTTTCAGGAGTGAAATTTGGTCATTGTTTGAAGTTGTTGAACATCCTTCAGTGCTGAGGCCGTTGGCGGCCATTTGGGTGAACTACGTTCGGCTTGATTCCTTGGGCAAGAGGATACGTAGGCAGTCTTTAGATGCAGCCGGTTTGATCAGTTGATCAAGATGGGGGGAGATCGTGTTTCAGCTCGAGTATTGTTCCTGGACCTGTTGAGGAACTATTGGATGGTTTGGTGTCGGCTCAGTTTTTGGTGGAAACATTCGCCGAGGTGGAGAATTGAAGAAATTACAGAAACTCCAGAAGAAATCAGTCAAACCAGGCGGCGGTCGACCGGTCCGGTCGACCGCATTCGTGCACAAGGAGATCGGTCGACCGGCCCGGTCGACCGACGGTTCTCTGGAGTTTTAGGGGTTCTGCTGGATGGTGATCGGTCGACCGGGCCGGTCGACTGGAATTGATCGCGGTCGACCGGTCCGGTCGACCGACGAAGCGGATATCAGTTTTTCTGGTTTTCGACCCAGTTCGTTTTGTAAGTTCTATATATACCTAAACCTGTTTGTTTAGGGTAGAGGTTGGACGAATTTGAGCAGCCAAAGAGAGAGAATCATTGCATCCAATTGTAAGAGAGCTTTGAGAGATCTAGAGCTTTGTTTTAGGGTTTGGTCTGAGAGATTTGTAACCCTATTTGTATTCTCTTGATTTCTAGTGGAAGAACTCCCCCCTCCTTGCCCCGTGGACGTAGGCAACTTGCCGAACCACGTAAATTGTGTGTTCTTGCTGTGATTGTGGTTTGCATATTGTTTGTGGTTTTAGTTCGAGTTATTGTTCGTGTTGCCCAAGAAAGCTTCCGCCGCGCACAACAGCCAGCCTATTTCCTCTAGCTTACAATCTCTTGTTTTTTCTATGCAAGCTAATATTGAGTCCTAGGGGATGTTCAGTGGAGGTAGATGGTGTTAGAGACCCATTATCAGGAGACCAATAGGAGAGTAAGACCGCTTACAAGTTGATGCTCCTAAACATATGCTATCTTCCTCCAATCTTTGCCCATCCTCGGACCTGGATCAAGTATCTTGGCCATTACAAAATTCTGGTGTCTTTTCTGTCAAATCTTTATGCACCATTACCACTGATGGTGGCACTCGTAGCCCATATTACTCAATTATAGGGAAGAATATTTTTCCTAGCAAAGTCAAGTTCTTCTTATGGCTCTTATCCATGCACAAACTAATACTAAGGATAGGCTCCTCAGCAAAGGTTGGATTGGTGATCCTAACTGTTCCTTATGCCAATATGAACCGGAGACTCACAACGACCTCTTCTTACACTGTTTCTTTCGCTAAGCAGGTTTGAGACTTTTTTTTTTCTTTCTAATATTGGAGTCCTCTCACTGCTTCAAGATGTTAATCAATGCTTTACTATCTACTCGAATGTAACTAAAGAGTTTAAGGTTCGACAACTTTGGAGGTTTTTTTCCCACTATTTGTTGGTCTATGTGGAGAGCTCGTAACAACTTGATTTTTTCATGAGAACTACCTCAAACTCGTAAGTTGGCTTCAATGGTTGCTCATTTTTTTATTTTCGAGACATGTTCTTCAGCCACCACAAGGGGACAGAAGCTGAAAGCTATCGTTCGAGAGAAGGGTATCTCAGAGCTTCTTTCTTCAAGCGAGGATAGCAATGATGCCACGGCCAATCCTTAGCCAACTCTCTCTCTTCTCGTCTTTTTTGGGATGTATATAAACACTTATTTTGGCCAGTATTATGTATCTGTTAGCTTCCAATTGTTCATATACTTTACTTCTCCTGTATAGCCCTCTCTGATATCTATGAGTGCTTTCTTTTGTTCAACCCTTTTTGGATAGAGTGACGACAAAGGTCCGCTCCTCTAACCTCTGGGGTCTCCATCAAAATCACTCCTAGATATTTTTGTATATACTACGTTTTGAGATATTTAATATACATTTGATAGGGCATCTTGCCCTGTTCTTACTTTAAAAAAAAGAATTGTACTATTCTTACACTACTACACAAAAAATAGGGTCTATAAGAACTCATAATTTCTTTTTACATTTTTAAGAAAAGATTCAACTTTCTCATGTATAGTAATACAATAAGAGCATAACTTTTATATAAAATTATCACTACCCATTGGTCAAGATCAAACCCTAGCACACCAAATACTGACAAGATCCGGACGCTATCCTCTGGATTCATATTCTTTAAACAATAGATGGACAGTGGAGAGCCTACTTCCTAAGCATTAGAGTCACTATCATTTTAATGGATGGCAATTCACATGATTATGATAATAGTTATAGTTAGAATAAACCATAGTCATATATAAATGAATGATTATGACCTGAAAAATAATCTTTTCAACGTCGTCCGAATTCCTCCAGAAATTATTGACACATGCTTAATTGGCCACCATTGGCAGTTATGCTTTGCTCAAGACATGATCAAATTCAGTGACAAATGCAACTTGCTATGATCATTCCATTTCCAAATTAAAGTAGACAATTGAAGTTTTTTATTTTAAGTGCACTGGACAAAACCATGCGACAGTTTGAAGACAAAAAATATTATGTTCATACAAAACAATAAGAGCAAAACACTTTTATTAACACTAATAAAATGGAAGAAAGTAGCCAATTGAAGTTTTTTATTTTAAGTGCATTGGACAAAACCATGCGACAGTTTGAAGCCAAAAAATATTATGTTCATACAAAACAATAAGAGTAAAGCACTATCATTAACATTGATAAAATGGAAGAATTATTCCTCATCTCTAATTCCCATGAGAATGTTTGTGTGGTCCCATCTCTTTTCTGAATCTAAGAAAAATATACATTAAACAATCCTTAGACATCATAAAGAAATCAAGTGCTTGGTAAGGAATGATCATGTAATATAATGAAATAAATTAGATACAAAAGAATTGTTTCGTAAGCTTTGGTTTGATGACAGGTGAAGTAAAGCTCCCAGTCTCTATCCCTCTCAGAGCACTCTCTGCTTGTTTGTTCTTGAAAACTATAAGCCCATGTGGATGCAGAGAGAGAGAGAGAGAGAGAGAGAGAGAGAGAGAGAGAGAGAGAGAGAGAGAGCTAAAAGCCCATGTGGATGCAGTGAGAGATCGAGAGAGAGAGAGAGAGAGAGAATCATTGAGAGCACTTCACAGAGTGGCCTAGCGATAGAGAGAGATATGAGGAGGTTGTGGTGGTATTCATGGCTGGAAGAATCTTTGTTGGGATGATGAGACAAGACATACGATGATCGATGCAAATGAAACAAAATAGGGAATAATAAACAACAGAAACATTCCCTTGTCTGATTTTATTATCATTAAAAATAACTACTTCCTCATGTCCAAAACCACCTCCTTGAACTAGAAATAATCTTAAATTCATTGAATCTTGGATTGAATTTAGTGAAACCCACTTAACACTAAGATGAATAAATAGATTTAACATTTGATAATGACAAATTTAGAATCTAATGTCTCTCAAAATCTAGAATCTTCTGATATCTATGAAAAATTATTAATTTTACCAAAAATCTAAACTATAGGTTAATGCTAGGCTAAATGAAATAAAATAGGGTTAATTGATCAAACAATCAAACACTCTCTATCTTATCTCATATATATAATCAAACTAAAAAAACGTCAAACTGTTTCCGTGACACAAATGACCAAACTATTTTGGCAGAACAGATAAGATAGAGAGTAAATATCAAAATAGTCAATTAAAAGAAATAAAAAAAGCAATCACATTATTTTGGCAATGCAAATGAAACAGAATATGGAGTGAACCACTTTTAGAATGATTTACTTAAAAAGACAATTAGAATGATCACTAAACATTCAATCTATTTTCTTAATAAAAGGCCACATTGTTTCCGTCCTATCAATGAAACAAAACAGTACCAAAAGAATCAAAAGAAAAGAAAGATTCACTACCTTGTGCCTCATAAATAATAAACCCTTCCCAAAAGAAATCAAATTATTTCACAGGATCAAAGAAACAAATCATAGAGAAAACCAACCATTAAGAACAACAAAAACCATTCACAACGCGCTTGTATCAAAATTAATAACATTAATACAAAAAAAAGGAAAAGTCACTCCATGCACAAAATAATCAAATAACAAATTAAAAGCTAGCATTCACTCCCTTGTTTCACATTCCCATTAAAAATAAAAGGAAACGCCTTTGAAACACACAATTTTTTTCTACATAAATTCACATTATTTTCACAAACCAATCAATTAAAATACATATACCACAATAGTGTAAGGCAATATTTCAACCCCTTCAAGATCTAGGGTTTACCTTCCTTGTTAAAACAAACTAAATATGCTCCTTCAAGATCGATCCATGCACTATGCTATGAAGCCAAGCCTATCTTCACCTGTCCACAACAAAAAGAACAAAAAAAAAAAAGGATTGATAAATATAATCAAAGTAACATAAATAAATTATAACTCCATGCACCCTCAGTCTATCTCTTGTTAGTCCTCAGGATCTTCAATTCTACCAAGATCCTCCATTTCCACCCAAATTTGCACCGCTCCAAAACAATGAAGGATCTCCTCCTTGAATTCTATTCTCTTGATCATTAGCATCCTCATTGCTAGACTTTATAGAAACTGGCTTCAAATCCTCAAAGGGAAACAACAACCTTCCTCCTCCTCCTCCTCCTTGCATCCCATTACAATTGCCATTTCCATCCAAACTGAACTTGAACTCGTTCAATCCGAAACCCGATCCGTAGATCGCCCCGCTCTCCGGCGCCATTGGCATGTGAACCAAGGGGTTCAGTCCCCTTGCAGTGATCCCAGTGCTCCTCAAAAGATCCATAGCAGAAAACCCTCCTCCGTTGATTATCTCATCATAGGGTTTCATCATTGCTGATGACATTGGAAGAAGAGGAGGGGGTTGAAGATTAATGTTATGATTTATTTTGGTGGCTGGGTTCGAGGTGGAGGTGGAGGTGGAGGTGGAGTGTTTCTTGTTCTTTCTTGATCCGCCGCCCACCGGAACATTCCGGAGGGACCCACCTTCAGTCCAGTACCTTCTGCAGGTCTTGCAGAAGTACCTTGGCTGAGTGAGGCTGTAATTGTTGTAGTAGCAAAATTTGGTGTTTGTTGAGTTGCATCTAGGGCAAGGGAGTGCTTGCTCTTTCACTGGCCTCGCTCTTTTCTCTCCTATCTGT